AGTGAAATTATCACAATTGACTATGTAAAGTCAAAGGATAATATGTCGGATCCACTTACAAAAGGTCTAACTAGAGAGAGAGTTGAAATATCATCTAAGGGAATGGGTTCACAGCTTAGGACAAGTCATCATGGCGGTAACTCTACCTAGCAGATTGGAGATCCCAAGAGCTAGGTTCAAGGAGAAAACAAAGTTGTGACTGACGGTTCGACATTGTCAACCAACTCAATCCATTCTCATGATGGTGACAATGCTCAGAAAAAAGGATAAAATAATAAGGCTTGTTAACGAGTTAATAAAGCTTAAAGTTTTTAATGATTTGACCAAATAGTGGATCTACGCGATAACACGTGTTAGAAATCACCTATATGAGTGTGAAATGGAAGCCGCTTCAAAGAGAATCATTATAAAAAAGCCTATTCTCTATACACTCATGAAACTAGGAGGTGTTCATGGCTGAAACGAACACAACCGTAAGAACCATAAACGGTAAATGGTTGATTGTGTGACATATGGTTATCTAGGTATACACCAAAGCTTGACGGTTCAAAGATATCAAATTTACCGATTGACCAAGTATATCCGACATATGTTCACTACGGAAAGTTCAAGGGGAAAGCTACTTATCCATATGCAATTAATTCTTGCTTGTAAAGTGTACACACTTGTACGTTTCTTTGTCTTGGAGTCATTCCCCATTCATGTGGGGGATTGTTGGGTTTTAAAAGGTGTGAATGGAAAATGAAGAGTTAAGACTTTTATGAAGAGTTGTGATTTTTATGAAAAATTGTGACTTTTATGAAGAGTTGTGACTTTTATAAAAAGTTGTGACCTTTCCAAAAGATTGTGACTTTTCCAAAGGGTTGTGACATTTCCGGTAAGGCACAATAAACACTATTTCACATTACCCTTTATTGTCTATAAATAAAGGAATTTCCTCTCATTTTAAGAGAACCAATTTTCTGGACTTCTTCTACTACTATTAAATTTAGTATTCTAAGTGTACTTACTACCGTTGAGTGGTTCCCTGATACCGTGGTTTTAGGTACCGATACACCAGTAAGATCGTTCTATCCTGGGAAGATATATTCCATTAACCTAGGGGTACTTGAGGGGAATAATTTCCTTAAGGGGACATTGTACATTCAGTGGGCTCGATTTTCTTCTTTAAGAAAAATATTTTGTATATTGTTTCTAATCTGTTTCTGATTCAATTTTCTCTATTGGTTTTAACTTTCTACTTTTGAAATACTCTTTAAACTTTGTCGTTTCTTCTCAAATTCTTCAAATTTTTTGTTCTAAGTATCATAGGAATACAGGATGAACAATAATGTTTTATCTTTTTCTCTTTTAAACTTGTGGGGTTCTTGATTTTGCACTAAAATTGGTTCTTGATTGTGTAGTGAAGATGCTTTGACTTTTTTTAAAAATAAATATTTTGTGATTGATTGAGTAGGTGATAAAAATTGTGTCATTTTTTCGACAAAGGTTTAGGATTGTGCTTTAATCACTTTCCTTGTTAGTTGGTATTGAAAACAAAGCTAACACTTGTATATTTCTCCATAAATAAATTAACTTGTAAGTATTGAAGTTTTTTCTATGAATGGAAAACTAAATTAGTAATCGTGACTAGCTAGTCTGTTTGGTCGATAGATTAGAATATTCAGACCTTGCTAAATCTATATGATGTTTAGTCCGTGAAGAACATATTTTATGACTATATTTCTTACAAGAAAAAATATTTACTCAAATGACAGTGTTTATATAAGATGGTGAAAAGAACACATGGTGAATATATCTTGACAAATAATTAATACTTGGTGTAACTTCACTCTCAAATTAGCACCATCAAACTCAACCACACTGATATCTTTGCAGAAGCAAAACCTATTGTATGTCCACCTAGTCAATTGCCTCAAACAGAAAGAAGGGCCTAACGGTTCAAAAATCAAAGGTCTCCACAAAATTTCAGTAAACACTGGGAGAAACTATTTAAAACTATGAATTATGTCTCAATTCCCAAAGTAGTTAGGATAAAAAGATATGTGTTAGAGTCCAATATTGGTTGGGGACGAACTAGCTAGTGGTCTGCTCATATGAACTTAACAATCATTCCTTTTTGAAGTAGCTTTTAGGATTGAGTTAAGCCTAGATATCATGTCTTTACATGCTATCACATGCAGATTCATCCTAGTTTGGACTCCTTATATGTGCTTTAGTTGAGCTTGAGCGTAAAGGGGTGTTAGAGTCCATGTTGATTGGAGAATGAAATGAACTAACTTTTGAGATTGAGTTAAGTTCAAATGTCATATCTTTAATTACCATATGAAAACTCAATAAAACCCTACCTACATTAAATCCAAGCATGTGGTTACTTTTTGGTATCTACCGAAGTTTTAGTGACCAAGAAAACAGAAAACTAGGGTTTCGAAAGAGGATGAAAGAGGGTAAACTCAACTCTAAACTTAACGAAAAATAACGCCAAAAGGAGCATTGGGAACAATTGAGACACTAATTATCGATGGTGAAGTAAATAAATTTTATGTAATAGACACATGCTATGCAATGCTTTATAAAAGCAAGATAGATAACCGTTTTTTTCCAATTAATCTCTATTCATGATCACTTGAACTAGGGGTGTACATGATCGGGTTGGTTCGAGTTTTTCAAATATCAAATCAAACTATTTGTGTCAGATTTTTAAATTTATAAACCAAACCAAACCAATAAAACTCGGATTTTTCAACCTCGGGTTTTTTCGGGTTTTTTGGATTTTTTCGGATTTTTCCGGTAAAGTATTTATACAAGCATATAATTTACTTGTACTTCAAATATTTTCTTTACTCCTACCAAAATACTACTATCTAAGGTGTTTCTTAAAATAATAACACAAAATATGATATGATTAATGACACTAAAATATCCAACAAAAATAATAATAATGAAATTACGTAAAACAAATATTGCAAATTAACAAGTCATAATGAAAATGATCATAATTTAAAAGTACTAAATCATGCTAAAATAAGTTTAATAAGTATTAGTTACATGACTAAATATTAAAGGAAATTAAAATTAGATTATGTATTTTAATTGTCTAAACCAATGTAAAACTAAAGAACAATTATTCAATATTATTGTCTTAGTGTTTTATTGGTTTTCTTTTTGCATTATTATTAATTTGATTTGATTGAACCTTTATTATAATTACCAACATATGTGGACTATAATATTTATTGGGCCATTTAGAATTCTAAGTTTCAAACTTAAAATAATATATGAAAAGATAAAAACTAGGAAAAAGCATAAGAAATATTTAAAAATTATATCAAAGTAAATATTTTTATGTATAAAATAAAATTTTAAAATTATATCTATAATGTCGGGTTGTTTGGTCTCGGGTTGATTTTTTTTAGTTAAAACCAAACCAACCCAAATATAGTCGGGTTTTTTTTTCCAATACTAAACCACTAGTTGGATTTTTTTTTAGTTTGACTCGATTTGCGGTTTAATTTAGTTTTCGGTTTGATTTTGTACACCCCTAACTTGAACAATTAGATTGAGAAATTAAACCCTAGATTTAATACTCAGGGAGGAAGTGCAATATAGAAAATATATAATTGAATCAATGAGTTCATTTATAGAAGGGATCACACGATTTAGGACCACCTCAACTTTTGAAAATTATTTTTTAGACCCGCTGGAAATTCGAGGGAGTTTGGAATAATAGACCTATTTGGATTTAACCTTTTAACTTATTTTTGTTATTTTAATCTAAAGATGAATGTGTAAAAATAGTTTTATATATACTACATCCGTCCACTTTTAATTGCCATGGTTTCTTTTTTTAGAGTCAAATTATAAGAAATTTGACTAACATTTTACGATATATTTTTTCATCATATTGATATGTAAAAAATTACAATTTATAGTACTTTTCGTATAGTTTCTGAATATCTAAATTTTTTGTTTAAAATATCGAATTAATGTAATCTAATTTAACTTTAAAAATTAGTCAAATCAACTTTCAAAAAATTCAACATGACAATTAAAAGTGGACGAAGAATGTACTTAATAATGAAAAGAAAATAAATTGTATTGACTAGATGTTTTTAATTTAGATTTTAAAAAAACTAATCTATTGATTCTAGGAGAAGACAAGAAAAGTTATAAAATAAAATTTAGTAAAAAATCCAATTCAAGTGACCAGATTAATTGTATTTTCTATAAAATAAGAATAAATTAAGTAGAATATATATATTTACTTAATAAAGGAAGGAATATAAATTGCATTGACCATGTTTTTTTAATTTAGATTATTTTCTTTTAAAAGAATCTATAATTATACGAGAAGAGAAAAAAAATATATTATAAAATAAGATTAATTTAGCATTGACTAGATCTTTTAAGATAAATAATAAAGACACCTAATAATGGAAAGAAAACAAATAACATAGACTAGATCTTTTAGTTGATATGATACTTTACTATAAATAGGACTGTAGTCATTTAAAATTTATTAAATATAAATTTATAAAATGATTTGGATTATATTAAATTTATGATATATTAGTTCAAATAAATATTATGGATTAATATAATAGAGTTAATTATTTAAATCTAATATATATAGATTTAATTAAAGTCTTCTCCATAAAGCCCATATGCCATGTCACTTAAATCTGATTGGCCGAAGAGAGTCCTCTTCCAATCACAACTCCTCTATTTTAAAACTATAAATAGGGGTCCTCATAATTCAGAAAAGAGAACAAAGAATTCTAAACAAGAAGCTAGGGAGAGCTCGTGAATCAAAAGCCACAAATTTCTCTACAAGTTTAAGAATTCAAGAATTCAAGGATTCAAGAATTTAATTGTGTTCAAGTTTAAGAGTTGAAGAATTCAAGCATTCAAGATCAAGATAAAGTTAAAGTTCAAGAACGATCAAGATCAAGACTGCCAGATTCAAGATTAAGCTCGAAGCCCTTGGATTCAACTAGAAGTCAAGATCAAGATATAGTTCAAGTTCAAGAACGATCAAGATCAAGACCGCCGGATTCAAGATCAAGCTCGAAGCCCTTGGATTCAACTAGAAGTCAAGATCAAGATAAAGTTCAAGTTCAAGAACGATCAAGATCAAGCTTGAAGCCCTTGGATTCAACTAGAAGTCAAGATCAAGATAAAGTTCAAGTTCAAGAACGATCAAGATCAAGACCGCTGGATTCAAGATCAAGCTCGAAGCCCTTGGATTCAACTAGAAGTCAAGATCAAGATAAAGTTCAAGTTCAAGAACGATCAAGATCAAAATCACCAGATTCAAGATCAAGCTTAAAGCCCTTGGATTCAACTAGAAGTCAAGATCAAGATAAAGTTCAAGTTCAAGAACGATCAAGATCAAGACCGCCGGATTCAAGATCAAGCTCAAATCCCTTGGATTCTACTAGAAGTCAAGATCAAGATAAAGTTCAAGTTCAAGAACGATCAAGATCAAGATAAAGTTCAAGTTCAAGATCAGGATTAAGTTCAAGTTCAAGATCAAGATTAAGTTCAAGTTAAAGTCAAATTCAAGATCAAGCTAAAGAGCCCTTGAATTTATACTTGAAAAAGCGAATTTAGAGGAATCATAGAGATTGTAACACTTGCACTTTAAATCAATTAAATGATTGTTGCATAATTTTTTTGTTCTTGATTATTATTTTCTTGACGCGAATTTTATTGTCTACAAATTCTGGCACGCCCAGTGGGACAATCTCTACCTCTCATCTCAACTTTTCAAGTATCAAAGAATATCAAAATGACTTCTACTATAGAAGAACAACTAGCAAGCTTGACAAAAACGATTGAAGGCTTGACAAAGTGTGTACACGAACAAGATGCTAAACTTTTGAAGTTAACAAATAAGATGGATAACATGATTGAGAGAAGATCATGTCAAACACTGAAGCTTCATAAAATTCAAGACGAACGAGAGTCTTGCATAAAGCAAACAAATATCAACGAGATTCATCTCTCCGCTGAAGGTTTGATTCCCATTGATCAATTGAAAGACTTTATCATAGAGGTTCTCGAAGACAAATTTGAGTCTTCATCTAAATTTTCTCCCACATATGCAAAGCCATGTACACAAAGGATTGATAACTTGCAAATGCCTAAAGGCTATCAACCTCCTAAGCTTCAACAATTTGATGGCAAAGGAAATCCAAAGCAACATATAGCACACTTTATCGAGACTTGCAATGATGCCGGGACATATGGTGATTATCTCATTAAAGAGTTTGTTCGATCTCTCAAAGAAAATGCCTTTGATTGGTAAACAGATCTCGAACCTAATTCTATAGATTGCTGGGAGCAGCTAGAGCAAGAGCTACTCAATCTTTTCTATAGCATAAGACGCGTCGTTAGCATAATTGAACTTACAAAGGCTCGTCAAGGTAAAGATGAGCTAGTTGTTGACTTTATCAATCGCTGGAGAAGTTTGAGCCTCAACTGCAAAGATCGCCTTAGTGAAACTTCTAGCATTGAAATGTGCATCCAAGGCATGAATTGAGGTCTTCACTACATCTTGCAAGAATTAAAGCCTAATACATTCGAAGAGTTGGCAACTCGTGCACATGACATGGAATTAAGCTTGACTTTAAGAGAAGATCAACGATCTCCTATCTTTGGACCTTATGAAGATGAAGATATAGAAGAACTCCAAAGTGGGGGCAAGTCTGCATCTGAAGATGAGTTTGAAGAGTCAATATATATCTAGACGCTCCTTAACGCATGAGCTTAAACTGCAAGTTACAATGCTCCTCATCGTTTGGGCTAAATCTTCAAGTTATAATGCTCTTAGACACACGAGTCTAAACTGTATATCACAAAGCTCTTAAAATTTGAGTTAAATCTTCAAGTTGAAATGCTCCTAGAAACACGAGCTTAACTGTATGTCACAAAACTCTTTAAATTTGAGTTAAATCTTCAAGTTGAAATGCTCCTTGAAACACGAGCTTAAACTGTATGTCACTTAAATCTTCAAGTTTGAGTTAAATCTTCAAGCTGAAATGCTCCTCAAAACACGAGCTTAAACTGTATGTCACAAAACTCTTCAAATTAGAATTAAATATTCAAGTAGAAATGCTTCTTAAGGTACGAGCCTAAACTGCATGTCACTCCTGTTCCACAAGAGTATAAACTGTGTACGACACAACAAAACAAAACAAAAAAAAATCACTCAATCTCCCAGAACTACGTTGTCACTTGATTCTCTTCATTGAGGTATCTAGGCACTTAGAACCATATTCTAAGTTCACTTGCATGAGTGTTAAAAATTCACATGTTCCCCCTTGATCTGTCACATGAAAGTTAAAGCTATGAGTAATCATTCATAAAACTTCAGACTTGCACCAAATGGTGGTGACTCAATAGGGGCAACCCCTATGAATAAAACTTGTTTCAAGATAAGGTCTTTAAAAATCTCCAAGTATGCAAGTTGAAGTCTTCAATTCTCCATGTATAGAAGTTGAAGTATTAAAATCTTCAAATTCTACAAGTTTAAGTCTTCAAATTTGTCAAGTCTGCAAGTTGAAGTCCTCAAATTCTTCAAGCCTAGTCTTTGAAAGATAAAATATCTCGACAAGACTTGAAGAAGGGGGCATTTGTAGTCATTTAAAATTTGTTAAATATAAATTTATAAAATGATTTGAATTATATTAAATTTATGAATATATTAGTCCAAATAAATATTATGGATTAATATAATTGAGTTAATTATTTAAATCTAATAAATATAGATTTAATTAAAGCCCGCTCCATAAAGCCATATGCCATGTCACTTAAATCTGATTGGCCGAAGGGAGTCCTCTTCAATCACAACTCCTCTATTTTAAAACTATAAATATGTGTCCTCATAATTCAAAAAAGAGAACCAAGAATTCTAAACAAGAAGCTAGAGAAAGCTCGTGGATCAAAAGCCACAAATTTCTCTACAAGTTTAAGAATTCAAGAATTCAAGAATTCAAGAATTTAAGTGTTCAAGTTTAAGAGTTGAAGAATTCAAGCATTCAAGTTCAAGATAAAGTTCAAGTTCAAGAACGATCAAGATCAAGACCGCCAAATTCAAGATCAAGTTCGAAGCCCTTGGATTCAACTAGAAGTCAAGATCAAGATAAAGTTCAAGTTCAGGAACGATCAAGATCAAGACCGCCGGATTCAAGATCAAGCTCGAAGCCCTTGGATTCAACTAGAAGTCAAGATCAAGATAAAGTTCAAGTTCAAGAGCGATTAAGATCAAGACCGCCGGATTCAAGATCAAGCTCGAAGCCCTTGGATTCAACTAGAAGTCAAGATCAAGATAAAGTTCAAGAACGATCAAGATCAAGACCGCCGGATTCAAGATCAAGCTCAAAGCCCTTGGACTCAACTAGACGTCAAGTTCAAGATAAAGTTCAAGTTCAAGAACGATCAAGATCAAGACCGCCGGATTCAAGATCAAGCTCAAAGCCCTTGTATTCAACTAGAAATCAAGATCAAGAACGATCAAGATCAAGACCGCCGGATTCAAAATCAAGCTCGAAACCCTTGAATTCAACTAGAAGCCAAGATCAAGATAAAATTCAAGTTCAAGTTCAAGTTCAAGATCAAGATCAAGATAAAGTTCAAGTTCAAGGTCAAGATTAAGTTCAAGTTAAAGTCAAATTCAAGATCAAGCTCAAGAGCCCTTGAATTTATATTTGAAAAGGAGAATTCAGAGGAATCATAAAGATTGTAACACTCGCACTTTAAATCAATTAAATGATTGTTGCATAATTTTTTCGTTCTTGATTATTGTTTTATCGACGCGGATTTTATTGTCTACAAAGACCTTTCAAAATCATGTAAACTAAATACCCAAATAGACTCTTTCAACACTTTCCCAACTAATAACTCCATTCGATGATTCAAGAAGCCATTGTATTATCCATTCCATCGGTAATCATTATTAACGATGATTTTCTGGATGACTCTTTACTGTTGGATTTGATGTTATAGTACGAAATCTACATCGATCTTGAGTTGAAGTTTAGCATAGAGACCCCTACACCAAATAAAGACATACTACTAGATGAAGAAAACATTTTCAATTTAACATACGTGCTGATAAAGAGTACTCTAGAGATGCAGACGACGACATCTCCATCTCTAGAGTACTCTTTGTCGGCACCGGAGTTAGACTAAACATTTTTTCTTCATCTCATATGGTAGTACATCTTTATTAAGTGTGGTTATCTCTATCCTAACATTCGACTCAATATCAATGTAATTTTTAGTTTGTAGCAACAAATTCAATGGTAAGATTTGTCGTGAAAGTCGTCTTCAGTAATGATTACCAGCGAGATGGATCAGACATTGTCTACTTTAGTAATCAGATGGAATTATTAGTTGGGAAAGTGTTGAAAAAATCTATTTGGGTATTTAGTTACCTAATTTACTTAGAGAGCCAGAGTCGGCTTTAGTAATCAGATGGAATTATTAGTTGGGAAAGTGTTGAAAGAATCTATTTGGGTATTTAGTTACCTAATTTACTTAGAGAGCCAATTTTTAGTCAATTATCATCTGAATTAAAGAAATATAGTCAATGTAATTTATATATATATGTTTAATTTATTCTTATATTATTTAGAAAATACAATTAATCTGGTCATTTTGAGTTGGATTTCTTTCTAAATTTATCCTATTTTATAATTTTTCTTCTCTTCTCCTAGAATTATAGATTATTTTTTAAAATAAATGAATCCAAATTAAAGTTTCCATATATATAATAATAATAATAATAATAATAATTCTACTATATTTATTCTTACTTTTTAGAAAATATAATTAATCGCCTCTCTATGAATTGTTTGTTTTCGATTATATTACTGTATCTTTTGAAGGAGGGATTTTTATGATAAATCTACGTATTTCTGTATTTTCGCCTTGACTTTGTACCTCGGAAATGTTTTGCAGATATGTTGTATATTTTACATTTCGCTTGTATTTATGTATATTCTGAAGGAAGAATTTTTTGATAATCACTATATTTCGGTACTTTCATCTTGATTGTACAATGTATTTATTGTTATTTGTACCCTTGTATACACCATTGTGTTTCACCCTTGTATTTAAGTATTTGCCTTTAGTGTACTAAGAATAATTAAGTGAATGCATACAACCTATCATGATTGTATTCAATAAAATTGTATGCATTAATACAACCATTAAAATGAATGAATACGCGTACATGATACAAAGTACCAGTAATGATTGATAAAGTGGAGGAAATGAGACAAGTGAATTTAGAGTGAGTGAGTGACGAAATACAATTCCATACCATCCTCTGTAATTTTTTATTGTTTGTATCTTTATATATAATCACTTTGTATTCATTAATACAATCTAAATGCGCCTATACATATACTGTCGCTTAACATCTCAAACACTTGCTACAACAGATAAATGTATAAACTATAACTACAAATTATTAATAAAGCCCAAACTGTAGTCATTTATAAAATTCCTATACAAAAATTTACTTCGTTTGATGAACCCACAAGTTTGTTCACCAAATCCCGCTATATATATATATATATATATTGTGTAGGAGGAATAGTACCTATGAGAATCTTACTGTCCCTCTTATTTTCCTTCACAATGTAATGTATATATCAGGCATTTTATAGAAATCTCATATATTTATATGGGCTAATTACATCATATTCCAAAAGTTTTTCTTATTATAAAAATCTTGGATTTTCCATTGCTTCTGGATACATTTCTTGGTTGTCCGATACACTGTAAATGAAACATTTCTTAATGGAGGGATGTATCCAAGAGGGGACAGAGAAGTATCCGAGAGGAGAGGGATGTATCCGAGAGGGGATAAAGATGTATATGAGAAGGCATGATGATGTATCCAAGAAGGAATATGAGATGCATCTGAGAGGGGATTTACGTAATTTCTTGTAACTCTCCGGAAAATTTTTGAGCTAAGACTTGAACCATCCTTCGTAGTGAGTAAGTTTTTACCAAGAAATTTAAATTTTTCCTAAGTTTTAAGGTCACTAGATGTAGCACCTTGAGTTCCAAGAAGAACTAAAGAGAAAATTGTTCAAGTCATTCCTAAGTTCCTTTAAGTTTTGGGTCAAATTCAAATGACCATAACTTTCAGTACATGATGAGTTATGTCACTCCCCGGGCCTACACCCTGGGCGGGACTGGCACTCGAGAACCATTGTTGGCCTCAAGCGAACCCTTGGCCTGGCTTAACTCTTAGCGGAAGACTTACTCATGATAAAGGAAAGTATTGAAATACAATCATAACTAAACTGTCTCAATAAATAACTTAGAATGTTTTAAAGATCAACATTCAACTGGCCAAAATGGAAACTCAAGTCTCAACATAACTGAAAAGGAAATGTAAAAGACTCATGAACTAACATCAACTGTCTATTAAGCCTCTAACCACTGAGATGGACGTCAAGACAAGACTCACGACATCCTAATGAACTAACTGATAAAACAATAAAAGGGATCCTCCAGAAGCAAGGAGACTCACGAACAAGTCTGAAGCTCAACTAGAATCAACGATGCGCTGGATGCTGATCCTGATTACATGTATCCGCATCATAAAAGATGCAGTCCAACTGACATCGATACATTGAATGTACGAGCATGCGAGGGGAAATCTAAAACAAGACATAAGCTTGAAAGGAACTGAAAGAACATACCTGGGTTCAACTCAACTCAACTTAACTCATTTCAATATAAAGCAATAATATGAATGCAATATAAAGAAAAACTTTTAAAACATGGATAACAACTCTATGTATTGAGAAATACAATAGTAACTCAATTTGTATGCAAAGATACAATATAAACTCTGTTTGTATATACAAATACAATTAACTCTGTGTATATAAGAATACAAAATACTTCTGTGGGAGTTTCTCCAATCGACAACTATCACTTAAGAGCTATGTGATGATATAATGTTTGCCTCACGTTGCCATGGCCGTCATATACCTTGCCGGTGGTATAGAACCTAACTACTAAGTAGATCCACTAGTCTATGCTAAAAATCACTAAGGAATCATCTAAAAAGTATGACCCTTTTCTATTCATGATGGCTACATGGTTTATGGGGACTGTGAGTTGTTTGAACTCTCTCTTATATCGGTGCTCAATACTACTCCCAAAATATAACTAGCTCATATGTTTAAAAACATAACTCTTTATGTGGTTTGAGATAATTACTCAAAAACTAGCCCAAAGGCTCTCTAGGAAATCAGTGTTTCCTCTCTTGCTTAATTGTGAAAACATTTACTCTTTACTGAAAAACTAGCTCAAATGCTCTGTTGGAAATCAGTGTTTCCTTTCTTGTTTAAATGTGAAAACATTTACTCTTTGGGAATACATAGTCCCCATATACTTTTTTTGAAGAAATGAACTTCACTTTTTACTCTTTACTCAACTCGAAACTCAAGTCTTAAAACAAGTTTAAAGCATTTGTAAAAGACTTTTGAAAAGACTCTAGGAACTCTCTAGACTTGGCTCTTAACTTTCCATGAATTTGAATTTATGAATTCAAGGTTATAATTCATGTTTATGGATGATATCATGATGTTTAGTCGTACCTTAGAGTGTAGAAATCAACTAGAAAACATAGGTACGTTTCAAGGGAACTCAAACGGAAAGAAATGGGAAAGGGTAGGGGACCTGGCGACCTGGTGTACTGAGTGGCGCCGGGCGCCAGACCCAAAACTACAGAACCTGGGTTGGGGCACTCTGAGTGGCGCGGCGCCCGAGAGTCCAAACTACAGAACCTACTTTGGGGCGCTTTGAGTGGCACGACACACCACCCTCCATCACCCAGATTTTTGATGAATTTCATTATTCGTTTTTCGACCCTAATTCATCTAGATTCGATTGGTTCCTCCCCCAATTACTTAGATTCAAATACCCAACCAAAGTATACAAGAATCCACTCAAAAGCAACCTCAAATCTCATGAAAATAATCCAAGAACTCCTCAACAACTCAACAATCAAGAACCCAATAGAAACTTCAACAAAATCCATCAAGATCTCAATTACTCTACTTTCAAGAACGTAAATACGCTAAAATAAATCATGATTGGCACGTGGGTGAGCGAACCCAATGCTATGTGATCTCACATAACCTCATAGGGATTAACCCTTGGCGAAATCCACAAGCAAAACTTCAAAAACGATGAACTTTCACTTTTCTTCTCTTTTCTCCTCTATTTTCTTCTCTCAAAGCCCTAACGTAATTTTGTAAGATGTAAACTGAATCAAATCAGTTTAGACCCTAATTAATTCACTAAAAATGAATTAACCCAATTGAGTATTGAAAAGACAAAAATACCCCTTTAAAATCTGATTAACTTTCCTTATCTAGACAACCCAACTTCAAACGGGATTATCTCCCTCATACGAG